CGTTCGTTTCGGGTCGACGTGACAGTATTTGCATAGTTCCAAATCACGTGACAGCGTTTGACCTTCGGTAGAATATAACCCGAGTTTGGAGTAGGATCTTTCACATTACTTCTGCTGAATTATTTTTGGCAGTCCCCAAGGTCTTCGGCTGGTAAGTGGCAAGTGGTGGCTGTTTCGCCTGCCTTTTTGAAAGCATTCGCTGAACGTATCCCGCCCGTCATAGTTGGTGACTTTTCAGTCTGAAAGCGCAACAGCTGTACACGAAGGCTCTTTTGGATTTCTGTACTTCGCATTGTGTCCAGACGCATATGGCCAGCGACTCGTCTCAGAAAGCCCATTTCAGCCGCCTGTACCCGGGATCGAAGTTTCTCAGTCATGGTCCACGACTCATGACCGTGGGTAAGCATGGGGATGAAGGTAGACTTGAACACCGGCGGCTTAGTCCTCAGATTCAGCTCTGCTTTAATCACTGGCTGTTCCAATCCGCAAGTCGATGTCTTCGTCACATTTTCCGTCACTAGTAAATATGGCCTTGAGGTGCTTGAATTTCTCCACCAGCTCCATTGCTTCTCCGTTTATCTGAAGAGAGTAACTGACAGGAGAACGAGAAAGTACTAGGCTTTTCGTTTTAGATACGTCACACACATACCGGCCACGTTGCACTCGCCTGCGAACCTTTCCAGCGAGCGTTGTAGATCAGTTTCAGAAGATGCCAACAAATCAGCAACTTTCTCGCCTCGACATCTCCTGCGCTGATACACTCATCACCCTAGCTGCGAGGAGGGGACAGGACGCAGCCTTGGCGGAGACCAGTGCCAATGCTAAAAGGTTTCGACTTAACGCCATTTACTCTGGCAAAGCACCTGCTATCAGCATATAATGACTAGATGGCCGTAGCAGTTGGCCATTGACCCTATATGTTCGCTAGCATGCCCACAGACTGTTGCGCGAGATCCGATCATGGGCTTTCTCTAGGTCTACAAAGCACATGTACACTGGATCTCCCACGATTTCTCAACAATCTGGCGTAGAGCGAAGATTTGGTCAGAGATGCTTCGGTTTGACTTGAAGCCACACTGCTCTGCTTGGAGTCAGTTATTTCGCGGCACCTGTTTCAGCTTGTTTCTAGCCATATGTGCTTTCGCTTTGCCAATCAGTTGACCATGCGTTTCTCGTACGGATTTTTCATAATTTGTTTGTACATTTCGAAAGCTCATTATTGGGTTGATGGCAATTTCTTGTTTCGCTTCATCTTGATCCTTTCATTCGTCGATTTATGGTGAGCATCGTGAGGAGCGTTTAATATTTTCAAAGCTTTACGGAGTTTTGAATATTACTTCCGAGGTATGTTACGGTTTGACCTTGAATTTTATCCAGCCTTATTTAGTAGGATCACTTAAAGGTAATAGCGCCATATTATAATGCGTGAGGACACTTTAGATTACGGGTACTTTTCTGTAATTGTATATATGCCGTTTGATTCGTTTCAGACTGCTCATCTTGCCTTGATCGACGGCTTGATGCTCGCTTATGCTCGCGAACTAATTAATGTGGACAAAGTGGTTAAAGCTTTAAAGTAATTGTGCGGTCATGTCATGCTCATGATTGGCGTAAGCGTTCACGTTTAGGAAGCAAATGGTAGTGCAAAAATCAGAGATACCTAGTAGCATGGAAGATGCAGCGCTTTTTTGGATAAACAAGGTTTGCGCTAAAGTGCGTGACAAGATGGAAAAGTCAGAGGTAAATAGGAGCGTTGCGTGGCCATGCCTACTTATACGTGCTGTACTTAGCTTTACAACGAACAAGAGGTGCCAGTGGTGCCCGAAATGGATGACCTTTATGAGGACATCTGCGACGGCGCTTGCATCGCGACGCTGGTGTCGTTTTACCGGCCGACTCAGCTGTCGTTTAAAGGTGCGACAACATATCGTTTGTTTTGTCGTTATGTCAGTTGTCCTTTGTCGCAATAATGTTGAATTCACTGCCCCTGTTGTTTTTGCAGACATCGCTTTCAGCGACACCATGAGCATGTCTGACTGTGTGCACAATCTGTGGTTGATCAAGGAGTTCTGCAGTAAGTACGTACAGACGAACATTTTCCATTTCACTCTCGAAGACCTGTTGTACACGCACGAAAGTCTGAAAGCAAACATCAACGTCTTCGTCGCAGAGCTGTTTCATGAGTTCGAAAAGTCTGCTGACGCTGGTAAGTCAACTTGTTCGATTGAATGATTGATCGACACTTCGACTTTTATCCAACCGTTTCGTTTCTAGAAGTGTCAGTACCATCCGGAGGAGCCTTTCTTGGCAAGCGCATTTTCAGCAGGGTCGAAATTCCGGATTTGAGAAAGTCAGATAGGGATAACAGGTGATTTACGATGTTTTTCTATTTACACATTCACGGCACCCCCTCCTTTAGTGTCATTGAGTCTCATGTAGACTGCATAAACTTATTGGATTGAATGGGATATCGCCAGGTATCGAGCTTGTGAGTTACACTAAGTTATCGTTAATGTTTGGGAACATTGTGAAATTCATGCCTCTTTTTACTCATGCAGTAGAACTGGATGTTCTTTAACATGCTGACGTATAAGTTATTATCAGAAGCTTCACTTCTGTTAAGTAATACCGTGTTTCGAGTGTTACATTCTCTTCTCAAAATGAATGCATAGGCTGAATATGTAGAATTAATTTTCAGTCAGATATTACCTGTCTGTATGTGTGAGACGTCAACTGTCTCTACTTGAGAATAAATTCAAGTTTTTAAGTTACGGATTCTTTTTGAAGAAACCTAGCTCTTGGCAAGCGGCGTTGAACATGGTTTGATTTGTTTAGGTTCAACATCCGAACTGCGAAGCAGTACGGTGAATCGGCTTCGACTTTCCGTGCGGCATCCGACAGTAATTGCGTTTTAACATAGTTTCTGTAACGGCTTTGAGTTTTCAGGCACGTTTACATCTCGTATGAACTCCGTCGACTCCCTGATAACCGACAGGTAATGTATGCGATTTCTTCATCGCTGTCCCAACGACCATCAATGAACGATAGCTGGCAAAATGCGTAAGCAGCGATTAGTTAGTCCTGTCAGTTTCGGAGGGGAATGAAGAATAGTCGAAACAGTTTCGGTCATGAATTTGGGCGTACTAGTGACTTAACATATGTTTTCGACGAGAGCCAAGAAAGAAAGCTTCCGTTGCTTGACCATCGACACTTGTTTGTCTAGTTCTCTACACTTAGGCGGAACTCTTGCGTCAGTGAGGCAAAATCTCTGACACCTCTAATTGCCTGTCAGTTCCACTAGACAGTTGTAATTGGTATGTTCAAGAGGTGCTGCAATAATGACATAGTGAATCATTTTCTGATTATTTTCAACAATTTATTTCGCTCAGATCACGGTTAATTTTGACAATTGGTACTTATGCTGTTAGCACGGATAAACATAGTCTGAATTTGACATACCTGTATATAATAAGCGTAGACCGTGTTAATCTGTTCTTAATTTCTCCGCCGTTATTAGTAGATGGGTAGCTTGCTTGTATACATGGTTTAAGCACTGAGAAACAACATAGCACGAGAGCTTCGATAGAGTAAAATTTGGCACTACATCTGACTTAACTGCAAAAGTTCAAGTATATGCCTATTTGCCTAAACGCCCTGACAGGGCTCTCCGTAATCTGTCCTCCGCTTCTAAATAATAAAAAGCTAAAAGTGCGGCATGGCATCGTAGAGCAGAAAACTGTATAGTGTATACTGCTGTACTGCTACGACAGCCGTGGAAGCTTTTCACGAACTCTGAAACTGTTAGCTAGCCAGGTAGCTATATTAAGCGGTTTATTAGCTTGCGCAGTATAGTTGTAATGAGCAAAACGGTGATTTCCAGACGGTAGACAAGGTACATAAAACGAGTTTTTTTCTTTGTTTCTCTGTCACTGCGTTGGTGTATGTGTGTTTTTCAGGAGCGTCGATTCGATCAAATACCATCCGTACAAAGGAGCGATTTCAGAGTACCAGGAAAAACTCACCGCGTTTGATGACAGTGCGAAAAGTAAGTCAACGCGGACGATCACTTTTACGGATATCAGTGGCCAGAAATCCAAATCGGCATTGGCGGCTAAAGAAAAGACGCTGAACCCTTACAGCCGGTCAGAGACGATGCCTGCTTCACTGAGCAAGAATACGCCTTCGATCATCCGACTGCAGTTGGAGGAGAAGCGGCGTCAGTACGAGGCGCAGCGGCTGCAGATGAGCGTCGATCTGGTGAACCAGCGACAGAAGCTGAGCAAAGAGGCGTTCTTTCAGTTGTTGGGAAAGGCTTGCTCTCAGAAGAACATTTCCAACAAGGACGAACATCAAAAGTCGCCGATCAAAGATGGCGTCAAAACTTTGCCGCGCGATGCAAAGACCGAGAGGAGCACGAACGTTTCGGACGGCTCAGTTAGCGGCATTGATCTTGGTGAACTGACGCGCAACATGATGGAGATGAAGGAACAGATGAAGCGATTGTCGTTTGAACAGGAAAGGTTACAGAAGATGGTGCACGTCAAGGAGGCAACGTCGCCAAAGTTCTCTGATGTTGAAAGTTTTCCTACTAGCGCCCCTGCCGCTGCCACGTCATCTTCCACCGCTGTCATCATGCCACAGCCTCAGGTGGTGTACGTCTCGTCGAGCATTCCCGCTTGTTCGCAGCCAGCGGTGGCGGCGACCGTCATGCAACCAAACTTTATAATTCCTAACGTTAACCCACCTTTCCTCGACGCCTCTGGCAGCGGCAGTTTTGCTTCATTCCATTTACATTCAGACGGAGAACCCCCCAGTCGTCTCGATCCGTCTTTAGAATTGACGAAAAACTTTAATAATTGGGGTATGACGTACAAAATGGTGAAAGGCCCTCGGAAGACTTGGGACAGCAATGTGATAAATTCAGGTGTCCCGAGGAGTGCCACATCCCAGCTTCAAACGGACCAACGGGCGACCGCCGTTACGGCCATGGACAATAATTATACCTCGTTCAATGTGCCCTCTGCGAACAGTTTCACGGTAAGCGCATTTCTTTCTTTCACCCTTCGTTCTTCAGAGAACTCGTTTGCACATTATCTGTGTGTGCGATGACATGGCTGCACATTACATGTCAGTGTAAGCGGATGTTCATTTTTCAGCAGAGAGTCTCAGCCTCCGAGTCACCGGCCGCGCCACGACACAGCACACCCCGAGTCGTTTCTGGACATTTGCCTTCTGATTCGACCACTGGTTCGAATGTGGCGATAGACGGTGCTTCCCCTGATTACGCGTCATCCACCACTACCGCTAATGCTGCAAGCGAGGCCACTCCCGTTTCTTTCGTGTTAACACCTGAAAAGCCGACCGAAGGACGTGACGAAAAGGAGAGTTCACCCAGCGTTGGTTTCATAATCGCCGCATCGGACACGAGTAGGGTAAGGAGGGTGACGACTGTCTGGTTTTGTGCCGCAGCAGTTCGTTCGAAATTAAATTCTCCACGCCTGTTAACGTGGATGCGGCGTCAACAGGCCGTAACGTGTAAGACGTCTGTTGATGAGATATTTTGCTTGTATGTATAGATCTCTGTGATGCAGATCGACATCTGGATTATTCAAATGACAGTTTTCCTGGCTAGGTAGAGTCATTGAACTCATGAACTAAATTTGACTAGCGTTCTTAAATGCCGCCCATTTTTATTGTTCCGTAAAAGACAGTTCTCGCTTTGCTGAAAGTGGCTGTTTTTAGCGTTGCTCTTTTCACTTTCAACGAAAATGAGGATCTGCGTTATGTCAGGTATCGCTGAATGTTGATGTCAGAAATAGTATGAAACAGCGGTATGACTTGAAATTAGCAGTAGCAGCTTATTGTGAAGCACGCAACAGTAAAGGGCTGCTTCCCATAATTCATTATCCCATCAGCGTTTATGAACCAAGATTGAATGATTAGGTGTAGGGATATTCCTACTATGAAGTTATACTATTCACGAATGCAGTAGCATGCCTGTGCAGAGATTCCGTAATAGGAAGAGAATTGCTTGGATAATTTTTCAATTATCGTTTCATGACTCTGCCGAAGTAGATTGAAAGCCAGTCTCTCGGTGCTGCTCACAGATTTCTAATGTCAGCTTCTTCCATTCCAGTATGCTCTTTGTCCACTACCGCAATGTTACGCAGACAGTGTTATTCTAAAGGGTTTCTTCATTGCCTAGATGCGTTTCATTATGGGTACTTTATTCTAATCGTCTTCATCTTCCATGGCCGCTTCTCCTTTCAGGTCACGGAGGCATACGCGTCAGACAGAACTTCCAACATTCCCGAGCCTGTGCCAGAGTCACAGCTTCGGCAGAACACAACTGGAATCTGGAACAGGCTCCTTCCATATATTTGCACCATGTTAATCTTGGCCGACCCCTGGGCCTTCTGTCAGTTGCTTTCGCAAACAACAGTTGTTTAGACTTCCTTTCTGGAGACATTTGCAACACATGCCCAAACCATCGCAGCTGTGACTTCGCAGTCTGGAGAAGCAGAGGCTGTACACCAATTCTCTTCTGGATGTCAGTATTCCGGACCATTTCGAGACGCTTAAGGCCAGCGACTCTTCTAAGAAAGCACATTTCAGCAGCTTGTACCCGGGTTCAAAGTTTTTCAGTGATGGTCCACGATTCGTCACCGTAGGTAAGT